AGCGGAGGGGAAGAATTTGGTGGTGAGGAGCAGAGGGAGGTGGGCTGGGTAGTTGGCCCTTGAGGAGCCTTCGGGAGAATTAAGGGGGTGTTGAAAGGAGAATTTTGAAGAATAGGATGTTGAATGGAGATTTTGTTTGATCGTGTATTTGAAGCATATGTTCTAGACCAGCGGTCGCCAACCCGTGGTCCACTGGTGGTCCTTGAGGTCCTTGAGGTTGTGACCGCTGCTCTGGACCGAGGCTTTCCTATCACACCCGGGAGTGACTCCTTCTGAAGGACGTTGCAGTTAAGAGGACGAGGCCTGGGATGGCTCCTGCCCTGTGGCATGCCGGCCTGCATAGCTGTGTGCCTGTCCCTTAGTTGCCAAGTAAATCGGCATGTCTGCAGAGATCATGATCATCATGAAAGCTCCAATTCATTGAGTGCCTACTAAGCTCCAGGCACCCTACATGTTATTCTTACCTTTGCAGAAGATTTAATAAGTAGAAGCAGCTATTGTGCCCTTCCTGCAGGGAGGAGACTGGCTCTGAGGCTGAGCCCCATGCCCTGGGCACAGCTACCGGGGCGGGGCTGAGGTAGGCACAGCTGCCAGTGAGGGGCTGAGGTGGAGGTGGAGGGGGGCCGGGCTCAGGCATACCCAGAGCCACACCACAGAGCAAGTGAGAGGCTGGCACTGCCGCTCCTGGGAGAAGCAGACAGAAGGCCACGTGGAGTGTGATTCCACTTCTGTGAACTGCCCAGAACAGGCTCATCTACAGGAACGAGCATGGGTTGGCAGTTTTGTCCTAACCAGTTTTGTCCAGTGGTTAGAGTATCGGCCCACAGACTGAGGGGTCTCGAGTTTAATATGGGGCAGGCAGGAGGCAGTCAATAGATGTGTCTCTCTCACATCAATGTTTCTCTCTCTGTCCTCCCTCCCTTCCACTCTTTCTAAAATGTGAAAAACATTCTCCGTTGAAGAGTAACAAAACACATTAGAATGGAAGGCTTCTTTGGAAAGTTGCTGTGCTGAGTGTGATGCTGCCCCTGTGTTGGGGTGTGACCGGAGATGGATGAGCATTTCGGGGCGGTTCTCTGTGTAGATCTGTGGTTTCTGTAACCCCAGTCATTTTCCCGCCTCCTCCTGGACTGAGCTCCCTGAGGCCAGCTGCACCCTGCATCACCCCGCTGAGGCTGCGGAGTGGCCTGGCTGCTCAGTGCTGAGTGCGGAGCCTGCAGCCTCTCCTGGCGGCTCCCGCAGCCTCGGGCGGATCTTCAGACCTGGGCGAGGCTGGTTGGCTCTTTCCCATCTTTCCCACACTTGTCCCATCAACCCATTTCTGCTGGGGAGATGGGGTAGCCCTCAGGACCCCCTGAGATTCGGACCCTGAAGGCCCGGCGGGGGCCCAGGAATTGGCATTTGTGCCTGATCCTTGTTGCCAAGGCTACGTCTGGGCAACACCATGTGAATGGTGGCCCCTGAACTTGCTCCCACATCTGCAGCCACAGGCAGCCCCTCGTGCCGGGTGGAGGCCCAGGCTGGCCAGGAGGGTGTGCTGCACGCAGGCCTTTCCTATCCTGTGGCCTTGCCAGGCTCCACCTCCACCCTTCTGGACGGACTGTGCCCGCCTCCCAGGGGACAGGCAGTGAGGCGGAGCTGCTGCCCCACCCCCAGCACCTCCCTGTGCTGGCTGCGTCTGCCAAGCCTAGGGGAAACCACTGAGGAGACGTCATTGTTTTCACATTTCTAGCAAAGTCACCCTGCACCACGTCCCAGGGCCAGAAAGACGCCTGAGGAAAGGGCTGCACTCTGCTGCCTCTGGGCCTAACAGACAGTCTGCTTTGGTGTGGGGCCCTCCCTACTGGCTTCCTGCTGACACTGATGGGACACCCCCTCCCACCACAGCTTCATTTTTTCTGCCTTCTAGTCACTCCCACGTTCATTTCTTTCTCTTTTTCCGGGAGGGCTGTACACTTGCAAACCACAGTGCCTACAAAGCACACGTTCTGGCAAAGCATTCCTGTGAGACCCCCCTCCCCCCACCCCCACCCCCCACACACACACTCCCAGAGCCTGTCCCTCATTCACTTCCGATAATGGTTCTTGGCTTTTCTTCAGAGCTCCTGCTTAGGGGTGTCCCTCGGGGTTAGACCTGCTCACACAGAACCAGCCAGGCCCACTCCTGCTCAGCACCTTCCTTCGGCCTCGGGCCAGGGCTGCGCTGAGGGGAGCTGGTTGTCCACGGAGCCCAAGAGGCACTCACCAGCGAGCGGGCAGCACCCGGTGCCTTCCACGCTGATGCCAGCCACGTGGTTAGTCCACACGGAGCGGTGGGGCACGCTCTGGGGGGATGCCCGCCTGGCTTACGGAGGGCCAGCTCTCCAGCGGCTGCACCGCGCAGACTCGGACTGATTGCGGGGGTGGGGGTCATGGAGAGGCTCCACAGCCACCTGGGCAGGCCCTTCAGTGGTCGGCAAACTCATTAGTCCACACAGCCCAATCTCAACAGGACAACGACTGAAATTTCTTTGGAGAGCCACATTTTTAAACTTAGACTATATAGGTAGGTACATTGTTATTAACTTAATTAGGGTACTCGTAAGCTGGCCTTGGCTAAAAACTCAAGGGGCCAAAGAGCTGCATGTGGTTCGAGAGCCACAGTTTGCCGACCATGAGTTTAGGTGGCGCGGCCACTGGCCGCGGGCTTGACAGGCTGAGTTCATATCTTCACTACAGCTTGAAGGAGGGTCCCTCGCATCCCGCCAACCCCTCCCTCCAGGCTTGTGATTTGAAAGAGATGGGGCCGAAGTGTAGCTAGGGAGAAAGGTTGTAGGCATGGGGAGGAATTGGGTAAAATTCTGGAATGCAGACTTTGGAGTGACTGCCTTCGAGGAGGGTTGAGGAGATAGAGAGCCCAAGGCTGGAGCTCCCAACTCCCCGAAGCCGGTCCCCTCCCCCTGCACTAGTGGAGCTGGGGGCCTGGCTACCAACTGAACGGCTGGGGGATCTTTAGGGTCATATTTCTTTTTCTTTCTTTTTTTTTTCATTGACCAGCTGCCTCTTGCATACCCCCTAGGGATCGAGGCTGCAACTTAGGCATGTGACCTTGACCAGAATTGAGCCTGGGATCCTTCAGTCTGCAGGCTGATGATGCTCTGTCCCAGTGGTTCTCAACCTGTGGGTCGCTACCCCTTTGGGGGTCAAACGACCCTTTCACAGGGGTCACCTAAGACCATCGGAAAACACAGATATTTACATAACGGTTTATAACAGTAACAAATTACAGTTATGAAGTAGCAACGAAACTAATTTTATGGTTGGGGTCACCACCACATGAGGAGCTGTGTTAAAGGCCACGGCATTAGGAAGACTGAGAATCACTGCTCTATCCACTGAGCGAAGCTGGCGAGGGCAGGGTCATATTTCTTGAAGGGACTCCAGCCATGGTTTGAGTTTCTCAACAGACTGATTAGCAACACATGGAGCTTCGACTAAGCCCTGCGGCCCGGCCCGGCCCGGCCCACACGCTGGCAGAGCGTGAGAGGGCACAGCAGGCTGCAGAGGTTCCTCAGCGCAGCCAGGGGCCAGAGTCCGACTGCAGCGCCCGCCAGAGGTCGGGGAGCACACAGCGGGCTCCGCAGCGGTTCTGACTGTGGGTCGGGGGTTTGCTTTTCCCCCACGTGCCCAGTGATGCAAATGTTGCTGGCCCCACCCTTGGAGAGCCCTCTGGTACCCGTGTTTACCTGCACACTGCCCCCGGGCCTCTTCCCGCTCCATGCCACACCCTCAGTGGGAACTGGCAAATGCTGCCCACCAGGCCTGGGCCACCGCAGTCAGCTGCAAACAGCCAGTGTGCCTGGGAGGCCCGCTGTGTACAGTGCGTCCGTCAGGCCTCCTCACCCGTCAGCCAACAGGCTTTCCATGGGGATTGCCCAGACACAATGCACATTGAAGTGTTCCATGTTCCCAGAGCACAGGCTCCATGTATGGAAGTGTCCTGGTCTGAGTTTATGCAGTGATGAGCACCTAAATGAATGCATTGTATGCACATTTTGCTAGTTGTTAAACAAAGGCGACTCTGGGGGATGCCATTTCCAATTCTTCTTTGTCACCTGGGCATTTTTACACACCAGCAGTGTCCAGGATGGGGAGGTGGGGGCCAGGATGGGAAGTAGGGGCGGGGCCAATGGAAATGCTGCAACTGCAAGTCCACACAGGCAGTGATTTGGAAATGGACTTTGAATAACCATTTCCCTTGGGCAGCCTGTCACCTGAGCCGGAAGCTGCTGGGCTGGCCTGCCTGACTTAAGCTCCAGCCGCTCCCACCTGGCAGCCACACTGCGTGAGTCAGGGTCCACGTGTGGCCTCAGTCACTGGGAGGCTAGGACCAGGACCGAGTGGGCTCGCCCAAACCCTGCCCCGCACGGTGGAAACGGCCATCCTTTCTGCCCCACCAGCTCCACAAAAGCCAGCGGGCCTGTGCCTCACTTAGAAGAGCCCTCAGGCGCTCCCATCCGCAGGACCTGACCCTGAGCCACAAGCCCAGGCTCCCTCCTCTCCCCAGGAGCCGGGCTGTCCTGGGGGAGGTGCTGCTATCAGTTGGGACTGCGTTCCTCACAACCATCCACGCTGTGTTCAGCTCCCTCTCCTCTGACTCAGTAAATGATCTGGATCCCAGACCAGGGAAGTCTGAAAAGATGCCCTTCTGACCTTGTGCTGACCCCAAGCTATCTGGAGTTTTTAATTTGGGGAGGGGGGGTTTGAGGGGTGAGTGTGACACAGGGTTCAGGCAGAGCTGGAATCTGTCATCTTCAGAGAAACTTCCTCCTCAGTCCCCCACCTGCAAGTGCACACTGCCCTCCTCACCTGACCTGGGTGGCCGTAGACCCCATGTGCAGCCTGGGGACAGCCCAGCGGCTGGCAAACTGGCCTTCTCCACACACCAGTTCTCAATTTCCAAATGGCCAGTCTGTCCAGGCGGAGAGCCAGTCCTGACCTCTTCTTCTGTGTCTTTGCAGTGAAGCAAACCATGGAGGAGCAGGAGGCGGCGAAGGAGGAAGAGGCTGCTGTCGTCCCGACCTGCGGTCCTTGACCTTCCTTCTGAGCACCAGGAACCAGGTTCAGGCAGAGCCCAGTTATGCTTCCTCTGTTGGTGTTTCTTTACCAACTAGATTTAACAGCTAGAAAACGTAAAACAGCGCTTGCAAATGCAAGTAATTCTTGCTTTACTAGTCTTTCTGCATTATCCCTAAATGTTATTCTTTCAGCCACCTATCTCCTCAGCGCCTCACTGTTCTGCACCATCGTCTTTAAAACGTACAACACACTCCAGCTGCAGGCAGTAAAGTGTCCTGTTTCCCGTGTCCCACTTTGGCTGCCTGGCAAAGAGCCATATTTAAATATAATTCCTGACCCCACGTGGTCGTTTATCTGGCACATGCTCTCCACAGGAGCTGGCCCTTACCTCCCACCACCGAGATGAGTCAGGCCCGGCAGGTGGCCCGTGGTGCGGCCCCACACCGGCAAGCTCCTCACGTAGTGGGCAAGCTGGAGTATGACCCTCATTTGGCCATTAACCAGGATTTTCCCATTCACAGAGCCACAGGCAGCCTTGGGGCTGTACTGGGTTGTTTGACAAGCTACCACACATCTTATGTAAATAGTCAAGCCTTTATTTTTGTGTTAAGAATAGCATTTTGAAAATAAAATCCATCTGCTGATGCTTTACAACCTTTTCAATTTGTAATACTTATATACAGTCATGTAGAATGCACCTTGATTGTCTTGAAATTTCTTTAATGATTTTTTTCTTATAAGTCAGTCAGCCAGCGGAGGATTACAAAACACGCATTAGTACATTTAATAAATACATATTATCTATCAGAAATGAGCTGTAGCTCTTTGTCATTGATACACAGCATCATCAGGCCACGAAAGCCACAATCTCCTTTCAGTTTGGGGTGCTACTCGGCATTGGCCAACCTGGGAGACCCTACATCTGCAGGGACCGGAGCAGAAGGCTTCCAACCACAGACCTGAGACGCTAGGCACACAGCTTCCCGGCACGCCTGCCAGCTCTCCAAGCCGACCTCCCCTTCCTCTCCAGAGGAGACACCAGCCTCTGAGGACCATTCCACATTAGGGGGGCACGCGTGGCTGTTCACGGTGGCTTTGTAAGCGAATGTGGGAAAGTGTGCTTACGATTGGGTCTTTTTACCACCGATGCCCTCTTCAGATCTTCCCCAACAGAAAGAGGTGCCATGTAACTTTGTACTTGAGCTTGGCTCTGTGGGGGCAATGGGCTGTGCCTCCGGCACAGATACCCCCCTGTACCTTCCGGTGATGCCACTAGGAAGCGGCAGTCCTCGCACTCTCCCCCACCTCCGCCCAGGTCTGCTCAGCCTGCCCATCCCGGCGCCCGAAGGAAGCAAAGCACAGAGCAGTCACTGTCAGAGGCTTAAAGGAAAGAAGGGAAAAGATCTCAGTCCTCGACACGAAGCTGTTCCACGAGCAGGGTCAAAGGTTACATGCCGGCAGCCGCTGCCCGGAGCTCACCTGGCATGCTGGGCACCTGCACGCAGGGAAGGGGGGTGCACACACCCCCTGCGGCCAAGTCCTGAGTCCCGGGTCGGGGCGGGGCTCCGAAGGACTCCAGGGATCGGGGCTGCGCCACCATTTCCTGGCACAAGGATGTGAAACGCAGGCGGCTCCCAGTGGCCTGGACACAGGTGTTGGAAGATTTTTACATTTTGAGAATTCTGGGTCTGTGTGCAACTGCCCCTTCCCTCCCCCTAACCCACCCCACCCCCAGTTCCCACTGCCCCTGCTGCTCCTGCCACAGGGCTGGGGTGGGGTCCTGAGAACGGCCGGACCCTGGGCTGGGCGTGGGCAGCAGAGACTAGCCTTGAGAAAAGTCAGGTTCATTAAAACACACACAGCTCAGACACATTGGTTATGAGAGGCCAGTTCCCCTCACCAAATACTAACCTTTCCCAGTTTTCTAAAGGTTCAAGTTACTGCCCCAAGCCGCCAGCTGAGACTCACTGAGAATTGTTAGCAGTGCAGTGAGGACTGGTGCTGAGCCCTTGGAATTGGGGGGGGGGGGGGGAGGGTGGTAGAGGGAGGGGGAATTGCTGGGGACAGGTGGGAGCCACGACAGGCAATGGGCTTGGAGGGCTTGAACCATTTGCATGGACCTTGCAGGCACCAAGTTAGTGATGCACCACTCCCCGCACCTGCAGAAAGCTCCATGCTGCACCCAGCTCGCCACATGCCAAGCAGCAGTGCCACCCTCCACCGCCCTGCCCCCGGGCTTCAAGCTGGAGGCCCCAGGCCAGCCTTTGAAATGAATGAGGCCAGGTAGGGAGCGCCTCGCTTCTCTGCCTGGGACAGGGGTTCGGGCCCGGAAAACGCAGTGGCAGATGGCCACTTTCTGACTGCCATGGTCACCCCGCTCCCAGACCGCACCCCTTCGGCACCTGACACACCTCCAGGCCTCTCCTTTGACTCACACCCACAGCCTCCCGAACTGCTCCTGACCCCGAAAGTGCAGGCGGAAGCCCCGTGGGCCCCCCATGGGCGCCACCTCCAGGAGGCCGCGGGCCGTGGTGCCCCAGCCCCCGGAGGAGCACGGGCTTGCTGCTGCTTGTGAGGAGCTAACACTACAGGCAGCTAGCTTCGCTGCAGGGGCGGTGAGGGAGGACAGCCTCCCGGGCAGCGGGCTCACAGTACACTGGCCCTGGCCTGGGGTTCCAGAGCTCCGGCCGGAGGTGCCTGACTCCTCCAGAGACAGCGGGTGAGCCCTCAGAGGTCGCCTGCGGCTCTCACCAGAGGTGTCTTCCCGTGTAACTCGGTGGTGCAGTTGGGATCTGGAAACAAGGAAACACAGGAAGCTCTGTGTTCAGAAGTCAGCATCCCCTTGGCACAAGGTGTGCGGCCCGCCTCCTCCCGGGCCCCGCCTCCTCCCGGGCCCCGCCTCCTCCCGGGCCCCGCCTCCTCCCGGGCCCCGCCTCCTCCCGGGCCCCGCCTCCTCCCGGGCCCCGCCTCCTCCCGAGCTGGGCCCTGCGTTCTAGGGAAGCCCACCTTCCTTTCTCTGAGTCACGTGTCAGAATAAATGTTTTCTTACTCAGAAACCCTTCACCTTCTGAGACAGAGTGTCCTTCCCTCTTGAAGGGACCAGGGGGGCGTGGGACTGACCTCTGGGGCCACCTTCTAATCATATCAATGATAACAGCGGGGGGGGGGGGGGGGGGGGCAGCCCAGTGAGGGGTGAGGGCTGCAGTGTGGGAGTCTGGGGCCTTTCCCACCCGCAGGGCAACGCCGACAGCACCCACAGGCAGGAGCCCAGCTCCAGAGCAGCAAGCCCCAACCACATCCCACACAAAGCCCGAGCCCGAAACGCCGTGCACTGACGGGGGGAAAAGCAGCCCATGCGCACATGCAGTGGCGCATGCGTCTGGGAGGAAGCAGAGCCTGCACTGGCCTTCGATGTGGGGATGAGAGGGCATCTGGTTCATGGAGAAGCAACAGGAGGCCATTCACAGGCGAGAGGCAGTGATGGTGCTGGGAGCCTGTTTCGCACCAGCTAGCTAACCTGCTTTTGTGCTCATGGAGAGGAAACGAGAATCACTTCATTTCCCAAGATAACTCTTCAGGAGGGGGCTGGCCCAGGGCCCAGCTGGCACAGGGCGGGAGGGCTAAGGGGCCTGACTAGGTTTTGTGTCAGTAAAATCTGCTTTGTGATTCTGAGATTTTCCTAAGTCACCTCCCAGGGAAAGAGAGGTACATTCTGTATAATGAAACCCAAGAATTCACTGGGGACAAGAGCCCCTAGATACAGGGACACTTGAAGCAATCGGTAGGTGGTACACAGGGTTCATTAAAACACCTGGTGCAGGTGGTACAGCGGGTGCAGGTGGTACACAGGGTTCATTAAAACACCTGGTGCGTGTGGTGCACCGGGTGCGGGTGGTACAGCGGGTGCGGGTGGACCAGCGGGTGCAGGTGGTACAGCGGGTGCAGGTGGTGCACCGGGTGCGGGTGGAACAGTGGGTGCAGGTGGTACAGCGGGTGCGGGTGGTACAGCGGGTGCGGGTGGACCAGCGGGTGCAGGTGGTACAGCGGGTGCAGGTGTTGCACCAGGTGCGGGTGGTACAGCGGGTGCAGGTGGACCAGCGGATGCAGGTGGTACAGCGGGTGCGGGTGGTACAGCGGGTGCGGGTGGACCAGCGGGTGCAGGTGGTACAGCGGGTGCAGGTGGTGCACCAGGTGCGGGTGGAACAGTGGGTGCAGGTGGTACAGCGGGTGCAGGTGGTTCAGCGGGTGCGGGTGGTACACTGGGTGCAGGTGGTACAGCGGGTGCGGGTGGTACAGCGGGTGCGGGTGGTACAGCGGGTGCGGGTGGACCAGCGGGTGCAGGTGGTACAGCGGGTGCTGCTGGTACACTGGGTGCAGGTGGTACACTATAGGGGCTTGGGTGTGTGGAGAGGGGGAGGAGAAACAGAAGTCTCGCCGCGTTCCCATGCGGCATCTGCTAGAGCTGCTGTCTACGCAGGCTGAGCAACCCCTGCAGAGCTGTGTCCCTGTGGGAGCTGTTCCACTCCCTGTCTCTCCCCCTCAGGTTTCTGCCCAAACGTCCGTTGTGATACTCACAGTCCCGCCATTCAGCACCACAGCCATCTCAGTCGGCTGGTACACATTGCTTCTAAACGGAGCGCTGGGTCTGCTTCCCAAACTGCTGTTGCGGAACCCTGCTGTCCGGAGAGCTGGGAGAGGCAGGAGCCACACACACCCAAAACAAGGAAGAGAGCCGGCTTTGTGTTCTTCCCCGCATCAGCTCGCTCAGGCCCGCAGCCCTCCCCCCGGCCCTTTGTCACAGCCCGACTCCCACAAGTCACAGAGGGGCTTTGTTCTCCTGGGCGGGAGGGGGGGAGTTTGCAGAGTCCAGGCTGCAGCTGCTGAGGTGGCCAGGCAAGGCCTCCCCTCCCCACCTGCCAGGCTCCAGGGGACAAGGACACACCTGCACTCCAGGTCCCTTCGGACCACAGACCCACTACAGCAGGCCGCTCGTGGCCAGCTCAACATCACGCAGTCAGCACGGCTGCGCCCCACACCCAGAAGCAGGGAAAGCACGGACCAGGCACGTGACAGGACAGGCAGGGCCCAGAGGAGCGGGGACCAGACGGCAGAGAACTAAGATTGGAAGGAGACAGCTGTCAGGCTCTCCTCTGCAAGGCGGTGAGCCCGTTTCTGACCTGCTGTGTGCTTTCGGAGATTCTCTCTCCCTTTCTAATAAAAGCCTAATGGCACAGAGGAACTTCATGCATATTGCTACGCCTGTGAGGGCTACCACTGTGTGATGCCACTCTAATGTCCTGGAAAAGGTAAAGCTAGAGACTGGAGGCACTGGTGTGCTGGCGGTGCGCCAGCGATGAATGGCCCTGCCCTCCACCTCCCATGGCCCTGCCTCCACCTCCAGAAGCCACCAAGGGCCTTCCACTGGGAAGCGACTGGCGCGGGTTTAAAGAGCCCTCAGGCCTAATTCGGTCTGAGCCCAAATCCCTCCCGGAAGAAAGACTTCCTTCCTTTCCTGCTCTTGGAAAGGTGAGCCTGCTAACACCGCCAAGATGTGCCCTGAGGTGCTACCTCCGTCAGCGTCTTCACCTTCTCCCTCACACGCCTCATCCTTGTTGGCACTTATCCATGAGCAGCAGGCTGTGCGTGGTGCCTGTCAGGGCCTCCTTGGGGGAAGAGAATGAGGAAGCAGAGGCTGCGGGAGGCTGAGCCACAGGCAACCTCTGAAAGCCAAGGCAGCTTTCCAGGAAGGGGGACTGAAAGGCCAGCAGGTGAAATGCAAGACACAGGACGCTGCAGCTGGGACGGGCCGCTGTGGGGCCGGTTCCTTATAGTAGAAGCTGGCTGAGGTGAGCGCCACAGCTGACAACAGCTGCTCTCACCAGCAAAGGAGCGTGGCCAGGTGTCCCTGCAGGCAAAGCCAGGGCTCCTGGTGCAGAGACAGCTCAGCCAGATGCCAATTCAGCCTCTTTGCTTCCTGAGGACACGGCTTGCCTGGAGCTGTCCTGCGTGTCCCATGGAAATGTCAGTGGCTACACATGTGGGTTGATGCAAAACAGGACTATTTAAAAAGTCTGACAACATACAAGGCTGGTAAAGACGTGAGGAGATAGGGCTCTCATACGATGATTAGAGGGGGCAGTATGTATCAGACTACAAGGCACAGATTCTTTGGTGCAACTTTAGGTGCAGTCTTGGAATTTTTTATTTTATTTTTTGCAGGGAGTTAGTTGATCAAGGGCACTTGGCTGCCTGGGCACTCTTCCTGCCTGCCTGCCTGATTGCCCCTAACTGCTCTTCCTGCCTGCCTGCCTGCCTGCCTGATTGCTCCCAACCACTCGCCTGCCTGTTTGATTGCTCCTAACCACTCTGCCTCGGCCCCTGCCATGGTGGCTTCATCTGGTTCGGGTGTCAAGCAAAGTGGCAGGTGGGTGGGTGGCGCCACGCAAATTCGTGTGCTGGGCTCCTAGTAAATTATATAAATGTCTAACCAGTGAGCTGTACACCTGAAACTAATATAACATTGAATGCCAACTGCAAATAAATTTGAAAGATACAGAAAAACAGGACTGTTCACTGCACAGCACAGCACTATATAGGAAGCCAGAAACACATGCAACATTCGCCAGCTGGAGACAAGAAACTACATCACGTGTGGAAACAGACACGTGGCTCCCCAGTTACTGGCAGGAGAGGCCTCGGCCGTGGTGCTGAGTGAGGCAAGCACACTCCCAGCCCAGCGTTCAACCTGCTTCCATCTTGCAGTCACTCGGAGCTTACAACGTCTGGGCCCAGAGACTTACAGAGGAAGGGACAGTCCGTCTTTAAGCTGCTCAAGGGACTCTTATGTGCAGCTAGGTTAAGAACAGCTCTACGGCATCATCATGTATGTGTGTGTGTGAGTGAGAGAGAGAGAGAGAGAGAGAGAGAGAGAGAGAGAGAGAGAGAGAGAGAGAGAGAGGCTGGCAAGATGGGCACTGCCTTTGGGCAAGGTATTTTGAGCAATTTTTATTATTTCCATTTGCTGAGCCTCCTACATGAGTATTACTCAACTTATTCATCAGAAAGGGGTAATAACACTACTATAGTATTTTCTTTGGGGAAGAAAGGGGACTAAAAGACAAGTTCCTTGGCTTTGATACATGTCAGGGTGTAACAGATGAGGGCAGGGGCACCTCTGGAACCCCTCCACGCCCTGTGCCTGTTGGTCCTGACCTGGGTGCAGTTCCCTTGGTCTCTGATCTTCCTGGGACGGATGTATCGGTTGCATTGCCACAGGAAGGGATGCATGTGATGGGAGCCAGAAAACCACTTCCCCCTCCCCGCTCTCCTGTGCACTTAGCGTTGAACTGGACCAGTGGCGGGCTTCATCTCTGTGGCAGGGGACTGAACCCCTTCTTCTCAATGCACAGAGCATCCTGCTGCATCAGGGACATGAGGGCACCAACATGCTAGAGAAGAATAATTCTGCCTGGTCCACACCCCGGCTCTGCCTCAGTTACTACCTCATGGGGTCACCGTAGGTATTAAACAAGATTAGCTACTAAAATGCACAGGATGGTACTGGTCCATGAGTGCACACAACCAAGGTTAGCCACCCCCTTTGAAGACCCTAAAATACACGGGCAGTCCTAGCATCCCCACTTCACCGCAAGGAGACGAGACCTTCAAGCTCCTAGTGTTCCCGGGTAACAGAGCTTTCAGAGCCTGACGTGACAGATCAACAAGGAATGTGCGAACTCACACCCATTTCAGGCAACACTTTACTATCGCGGCCCGGAGGTCTGTGGGGAAGAACCTGCTCCAGAGGAGCCAAGTAAGAGGCTCCGGGGCCTCTGCGCACCCTGCCCACTGTGCCCTCTGGGCTCCTGGAGATGCCCATCCGACCACGCCAGCCAGCTCTCTGTGCCTGGCCTCAAGCTCTGCTCTCAGAGAGCCTAGCCAGAATCACATCCCATGCCAGGCATCGTGGGACCCCTTGGCGTGGTACCCCAGCATGGCACCTCTCACAGCAGCGCCACGAAGCACCTTTTATTTTTAGAACAGATGAGAGAAACGACAAAGTTCCACATCTGGAAGCAGCAGAGACAGCGGCTGAATCCAGCCACCTGACTTGAGGGCAACTTCTGCACTCGTGATGCCAGAGGGAGGGGAGGGCCCAAGCATTGCCCTCATCACCTGGCACCCGCAGCACATGCCCGGCCAGGGCAATGAATGCTAACTGATGGAGGGCGTGGCTGGGCCAGGGGGCAGGGGCACTGCGGGAGGAGCAGCTGTGCGCTGGGGTCGCAGGTGGGCGCTGCGGCCAGCTGCTGCTGGCTCGATGGGCGGTGGGGGCCTGATCCAGCTTTTCTAAGCCCGAGACCTGGATTTTTACATTAAATTACGGGGCAATTTATAGGGCACCATTCCAAGTACAAATCCACCTCTGGGCCAGTTTCCACCCAGGGGCAGTGCTGTGGGCTCTGACCTGCCAGAGCTGCCCGCCCCCGTCCCCAGGGCGGCGGGGAGCCGCTCAGGCACCGCCCGCAGCCAGCCTACCTGCGCCGGGCTCCTCCAAGGCGAAGGCCTTGTTGTCCAGGCAGGGCGGCGCGTCCTCCTCCAGCGCCGGCTCGCACGCCCGGGGCGGCGCGGCGAAGAGGTCGGGCGCGGGGCGGCGCGGCGCGGGCAGCAGCGCGCAGCGCACCTCGGGGACGGCGTGGCACAGCACGAACACCCAGCCGCTGGCCACCAGCGCCACGGCCTGGCTGGGGTCGCGCCAGGCGCCGCTGGGCCGCAGCCGCGCGTTGCCGTACAGGTACATGGCGAGCCAGGCGGCCCAGACGAGCGCGGCGAGCGTGGCGGTGAGCAGCAGGCCGGCCGCGCGCCGCCGCCAGCGCCCAGCCCCGCCGCACAGCGCCCGCAGCGCCAGCGCCAGCGCGGCCGCCAGCAGCGCCGCGGCGTAGCCCAGCGCCAGCGCGAAGTCGGCGGGCTCGTAGGCGCAGGCCGGCCGCGCGGCGCGCAGCACCGTCAGCACCAGCCACTCGGCCGCGATGACCACCTGCACGAGTGTCAGGCCGAGCGCGGCGCCCAGCAGCTGCGGGCCCGGCGGGCCGCGGCCGCGCCGCCCCAGCGCCCGCACGCGCCAGGCCTGCGCCGCCAGGCAGGCGAAGCAGAGCGCGAACAGCACGCCCCACAGGAAGCGGCGCGCCGCGCACACCGCCTCGCCCTCGCGGATGACGAAGGCGAAGGAGAGGCCGAACAGGCCCAGCGTGCCCAGCAGGAAGAGAAAGTGCAGGCCCAGCGGCTCCCGCTTCTCCGGCTCCGTGATGAAGGGCAGCCGCACCAGCAGGATGAGCAGCAGCAGCAGCGTGATCAGGGCGCCCGCGCCGGCCGCCGCCTCCACCACGATGCCCCAGATGGAGTCCAGGTCGCACAGGGACACGTACTGCGGGAGGAGGCCCAGCCCGCAGCCGCGGGTCGTGCTGGCGTTCTCCGTGGCCCCCGTGGCCGCCGCACACAGCAGGAGCAGGGCCGGCGCCCCGCGCGCTCCCATCCTCTCCGGCACCGCGTCTGAGCAGGAAAGCGGGGTGGGGGTGGGAAAACACCAATGCTTCGTAAGCTTCCCAGTCCCGGCACCGCGCCAGCCCACGTGGCGCCTCGGGGCACTCAGGACAAGCCTGCCGCCCCTCTCCCCGGGGGTGGGTCAGGTACTGGGGTGGGTGGATTCGGGCCCCATATGCACCCGGGGCCAGGCCCAGGGAACAGCCTGACTCATCACCAGCACCTGGAGGAGAGGGGAGAGCGAGGCTCCCTTTCCGGGAATATCGTCATAGTCTTTGACTTTGAGGCCATATCTGACCTCCAAAAATCAGGCAGTAAAACGAAACCTTAAAGAGACAGCATGGCACAGCCACCACAGGCCCTTCAGTCTCTCGTGGCAGCAGCTGGCATGTGGTGACATGGTCCAGGCCCGCACACAACACAGCCAGTCCTTACCCAGGGACAACCCCCTCCTCCCCGGAGGCGGGCACCTGCCCAGGGCCATACAGCCAGCTCCCGGAGGCCTCCCGCACTCCAGCTGCAGGACCGTGAGCCCAATGAACCAGCTCCCCGTTCCATCCTGAGTTCCCACCCTCACATCCCCTCCAGAGCTTCCCCAGAACCCATCTCACATCCCATGCCAGCCTCTCCCAGGGATGCCCACAGACGCTCCCTGGCACCACTCTGGACCCCACAGAAGCCGAAGTCCACAGCAGCCACCTTAGCCCAGGGCTTCCGCCCTCCTGCCCTCCACTCGGGCGCTTCTTGGAGCCACGGCAAGGGCCGAGGTCCCCACTGCAGGCCGGGCGTGGCCACACTCCCCTTCCTCTCCATCAGAGCTTCTGTCTCTTGGTCAGTCACATCTCTCCGTGCCCGTTCACCCTGCTCCAGGGTCCCTCTCCCCTGCCCTCCCTGCCTGCCTGCCTCCAGGGCCAGCGCCCGCCTCGATCGTCAGCATAGACAGGGTTTCTCCGCCTGAAGACTCCTGACACTTCACGCCTGGTCATTCCATGTTGTGGGCTGTCACTGGCCTCCACCCACCAGCTGCCCAAAGCAGCCCACCTCCCGCACTGACACCAAGACCATCAGACACTGCCATGACCCTCGGGGTAAGGTCATGGGTAAGCATCTCTGGCACCAGAAAATGGAGGTCATAGGCCCCTTCCTCCACGCACCACGGCTCAGGCTTGGAAGGGAGCCAGGCTCCTGCCTCACCAAAGCCTCCGGTCCCCTCTGTGAAGCACCTCCAGCCAGCTCACTGCCCGAGCTCCAGGAGCCCGGGGCCTCCCTGAGGGGCCGGGTATCGGCCCCCTCCGTGCCCACCGGGACCCCGTGAACAACTCCACCTTCCGTGGCGGGGAGACCCAAATGGGGTGAACTGTTGATGCCACTGACCAAGGAGGAGCTGGTGCTGCAGGGTCCGGCCCTGCGCCTGTAGATGGAAGCGGGCGGGTGGCAGGGAGGCGCTTGGCAGAGATGCTCTCACACAGCAGCCCACTCCCAGGTCAGCAGCGAGGATGCACCCCCGACATCGGCACTCTGGCCACAGCCACTGAGGCCTTGTCCACACACTGCCTGTGTAGGTATTTACTTAACTGGCTCCCACGTCCTTAAAATCAACACATTTAAAAGAAAACAAGCCAGTCCTAGCCAGTTTGGCTCAATGGATAGAGCGTAGGCCTGCCAACCGAAGCGCCCGGGTTCGATTCTGGTCAAGGGCACGTACCTCGGTTACAGACTCTTCCCCAGGCCCTGGTCAGGGCGCATGCAGGAGGCAACCCCGCCTCACCCCACCTACAGGGAGGTGGGAGCAGGGGCCATCTCCCTGTTGTGGCAGCCACTCTGGCAGGGCCAGGTCTGGCTCCTGGCCCTCTGACAGGTGATGGGCACACCTTGCTTTCTGCTTCCTTCCTGCGGGGCCTTCTGACACGCCCCCTGCTGCGTTTCCCTTGGAGAGCACCACACACCCTCGCTGAGCCTGACCTGGGCCCGGCAACCGCTCCCCGAAGGCACACAGCCCCCCATACCCGGACGGCCAGCCTGAGGACATCGCTGGAATTAACTGCCAAGAGGTCTTCTAAGCCAAAGGGAGGAGACCAGGAGCTGGGGGCCCTGTGCTGGCCCGGAGGAAAGCCCGGAGGAAAGCCCGGAGGAAATGGCCGGTGCCAGGTGCGGGAATGGGTGCTGGGGCGCCCGCAGCTGCCTTCTGCGGTGCCTGAAGCCAGGTGCCCGGACCTGCCTGCTAGCAGCCAATCACCTTCCTTTTATAGATTAAGGCAGTTTGGCTGGATTATATCACTCGTCAAAGAGAAGCCTCACATTCACACACCCTCTTACACTCACACTCACTCTCACACTCACACACCCTCTTACACTAACTCTCACACTCACTCTAGAACCCTCTTATACACACTCACCCTTATACTCACCCTCTCTCATACTCACTCTCACATACTCACTCTCACACACTCACAACTCACACACCCTCTCACACTCACACCCTCTCACACACACACACACACACTCACTCACACACACACACACACATCTGCCAAGAGGGGAGCTCCAGCCACAATGGCCTTTGTTCCGTTCCCCCTCCTCACTCCCTCCTCCCAGCCCTGGAACTGCACTGCTCTCCACTGTGTCCCCCAGCAGCTCAGCACACTGCCCCTCCTGCCCCCCCATGGCACCGCCCCCCATGGCACCGCCCCCCATGGCACCGCCCCCTTCTCTCCCCCATGACTCCGCCCCCCAATGCACCGCCCCCCTCTCTCCCCCATGGCACTGCCCCCCATGGCACTGCCCCCCATGGCACTGCCCCCCATGGCACCGCCTCCATGGCACCGCCTCCATGGCACCGCCTCCATGGCACCGCCTCCATGGCACCGCCCCCCAAGGCACTGCCGCCCGCGACGCCGGCTCCCTGGTGAACAACCTGTCAGAGAAAACCGGCTCCTGCAGCTCCCCCAGCCCTCCGGCTGGAGGCCCTTCCAGCGGGCCAGGAGGAGGGGCCCTCCGCCGGGGGCCGGGGGCCGGGGGCCGGGGGGCCGGGAGGAGGGGCCCTCCGCCGGGGGCCGGGGGATAGGGGACCCGGGGGGCTGAAAAGAGGGGCCCTCCGCCGGGGGCCCGGAGCCGGGAACCCGGGGTCCGGGAGCCGGGGAGCGGGGGCCCTATCCCGGTCCCCGCCCGCAGCCCGGCCTCCGGGGGTAGCGCCGCGGCGCCACAGTCTCCAGTCCGCTCCGGCTGAAGTTCCGAGGCTCCCGGCCAAGTCCCCTCCCGCCTCCAGCCCTGGAGGCTCCCCGGCCCCCCGGCCCCCCGGCCCCCCGGCTCCCGGCCCCCCGGCTTCCCGGCCCCTCGGCCCCCCGGCCTCCCGGCCCCCGGCCTCCCGCCCCCCCGGGCCCCCGCCCCCCCTGGCCCCCCAGCTCCCGGTCCCCGGCCCCCGGCCCCCCGGCCTCCCGCCCCCCCGGGCCCCCGCTCCCCCGCTCCCCCAGCTCCCGGTCCCCGGCCCCCGGCCCCCCCGGCCCCCCGGCCCCCCGGCCCCCCGGCCCCCCGGCTCCCCGGCCCCCCGGCCCCCCGGCCCCCCGGCTCCCAGCCCCCCGGCTTCCCGGCCCCCCGGCTCCCGGCCTCCCGCCCCCCCGGGCCCCCGCCCCCCCTGGCCCCCCAGCTCCC